TTGGCATGGCGATATGGGTGTGTAAATTATACATTCAACTTTCCCTCCACGATTCAGTCGTTTTTAATTCCGTGATTCGAATTTATCACCGAAGGGAGTGATAAAGTTTTTCGGTTTAACTAATCACATATATGTAAGCATTCGCTTCCAGTTCGGGACAACTCACTGCTTCTTTAAAACTACCTTTAGTAGATCGCTACCCCAGTAATAATTATTCTACGCAAGCATGATTATGATAGTTTTATTTTTATTTGTTGAAAATACCGTGGTACATTTCCGTTTCAGGAAGGAGCCACAGCTGTTGAAATGTTACCCAGGGACATGCAAAATTAGAATAGTTTGGCGACGACAGTTTTATTCAAACACCTGAAATTCAGGCCTTTGCAATCGTACCTTATGCCAGATAATCCTTTTCACCCATGTTCGAACCCCCAAAGTTTGTTTATCGTCTGAATTCAGTTCTTCTCGATCATCTCATTTTCACACTCGCAATCATATCACTTAGTCTATCAACTGACTATTTATTTGTATCAATGGACCAAACCAATGATAATACAATCATTTTCAATCGGAGTTTAAACAGGAGCCACTAGACGTTTGTAAAAGTGTTCTAGGGAGATGTTTCATGATGACGGCTTTACAACAAATAAAATACCCAGAAACAACAACGAATGATATATTTGTGAAAATGGTGGCGTGAATACCATCGCATTTCGAGCTAAAGAAGACATTCCCGCGCTTGAGTATGTTTACTTCAAGCCAGAGAGCGAGACACAGACCATATGGAGACGTTCGGTTGCAGATTGTGCCTACGTTTGTCGCACTTGCCTGTGGCCGGATTGATCGATTGATTGACAGATGATGTCAGCTAGCGCACGCACGCACTCACGCCATGCTGACTGACTATTACAATATCGATCGGCTCGAGCCAATCAGATATTAGTATTGGACTGTTCTCACGCCAATTGATTGGTTGACTGTTTGAATACCGGCTTNNNACCACATAAGGATGACGTGTAACACTTGAGTCAGCTGTTAGTCTACCTGTCTGTCTTCCTACTTGTTCCCTTTTCCTGTTTGCTTACCGGCCTACGGATGGGCCATATGTGTGCCCTCCGCAATAAACATACTGCATAATTGGCTGCTTGCTTACTTACTAAAAAGGGACAACATTAGGGAATCGGAATTTCTTGGTTATATTTGTTTCATTATTCTTTCTGGTACGATTGTCCAATGTGGTCATGTCTGTTTATTTTTCCCCCTCATCCCATAATCCTGTCTTCAACACATCGATGGAACAGAGTCTAAACAGAATCATGGTCGCTCACAAATTCAGCTTCCTACCCTGGTGACTGTTGCACGCATGCTTGCTTGTTCCTGTGCCCATGGTCACACGGGTCGTGAACCAGACGCTGAACATCCTCATGCAGATGCCAAAAGACGTTTTGGTCCCTCGAATCCTGGTTCACGAAAGTCCTCACCGGCCCTGTATCTTCTCAGTTATCTGATCACATGTTTGTCCCATATCACCCATGCCGTTTGCCCTGAGTTTCAAGTGCCTAAATTACCTCCGTTAGATGTGGTCGTGGACGCCTGTCTGAGGTCAGATTTCGATTCTGCTCAGTGGGAAAGGTCGATTCACTCATCCAAACTTGCCGACTCATCTATCCCGGGTTCGGATGCAGTTCGTCGGAAACGATCTCGATGGGATCCAGTTCCGATTCACGAATCTGGTCCCCGTTCAAACACAGACGGCTCCGGTTGTCTATTGTTAGACAGTACTACTGCAGTTAGTATTGTGGCAGCTTCTCTCCTGTCCGACGCACGCTGGCCTACCGATGTTCCGTCAAACACGAAGGTATGTTCTTCTAATAATTTGCCACTCCCCATCATCCTCATCTTACATCTTGCTTGTTAGACGTCCGACTTGCTTTGCAAAGCCGGGGTACCCCTATCGGACTTCATGTCTGCCATACCTTGTACAGCTACAAATTAAAGCTTAGTACCGGGCAAGAAGTATTGATTAGAAAGTAATTTGTAATGAATTTTCAACTTTTTGTCTACCGTTCTATGCATGTCATAGGTCGATGTCCATCCCGCTTTCTCTATACTGACACATCCCTTGCATTCCGATTTCACTCCACAAAATCGGCTTAACTGTACTGAATTCTTCCTTAAACAATACCCTTCTCTTTTTCTGTCACGATTGCATAACTGTTCAGCTACCGCCGGAAGCCATGCACAATCTGCTCCTTCTGTTTCTCAATTCCGGTTTGGCATTCTTCCCCACTCAAATCGATTGGCTCCTTCTGCGTGCCGAGGTGGAGTTTCATTTGAATCGTCCACGTGCGGCCCTGATCACCTATTTGGAAGCATGCGCGGTGGCTACGAACTCGTTTCTCTATCCACTTCCCACGTCTATTCAGTGCGAACAGGTGCGTTTTGATTTTCACATCCGCATTATTTATGTTTCCCACAGGTATCTAAGATGGGTTTTCCAAATCAGTGCCTAAGACTTTAGGGCACGACGTGTATCATGTTTTATGTAACCCTGTCTGATTTCCCTTTTTATGGATTAGAAGTGGACTGCAAGTGGTCGCGCTGCTAGAGGCAACACATTGAAGATGTTAGACTGTCATGTTTCCCATTCGATATTCATTGGTTACCCAACTTTCAGCGGTTACTCGAGGAATCTAAAACATGCACCAGTAGCCACACGTCGGCAAACCGCTCGATAACCGGGTTAAACCAGGCTGAGAGTAACATTATCATCATCGTACAACGAAATACAGTGAGGCGAACTTCACTAATTGCTACCAAACTCGTAATGTATACAAGGTTAGTGGTAAAATTTAAGGTGGACAGGGATTGGACCTACTTTGGAGGAGGGAGAAGAAGGTCAACATGCAGAGTGCACAATCGAACTCTGTATACATACCGTTTCAAGCATTCTGACCTGATAAGAAACGACAACGAGAACGCCACTGTTGCCGGTTCGTTGCCATATCCTTCAATTTCCCCAACCAACCAGTTGCGGAGTCTTTCTGACCCCAACCCGGAAGGCGCGTAACACCTACTCTACCCAATGGTTCTTCATCCCTCGTTTCCAAGTCATCTTTTGGCCTCCACCCCGGAGCGGCTACAGCGAATAAGGCGCGATGTGGTAGACGGTAGCTGGGCATACGTAATACGTGCCCTAGCCAGGGAAGCCGACTAATCTGATTTTTGATATGCTAGCAGGTTTACGCCCGACAGACTTCGAAACACACGACGGCTTACCCCCAGCTTACTAACCCTATCGCTCCATCCCACGTGGGATAAACTACATAAACACCGATAGTCGAAAACCTCTAGTCAATGGATATTTTCTACTCGCAAATTCAAGGTCTCACAACCATAAAGCAAGACTGAACGAACGCTAGCACAAAATACACAGCCTTTCAACAGACCCCCGAAAGTCCCGGTAACTAATAGCTTACGGAATACGAGACAGTTGATTCTTACTGAACAAATCAAATGAATTTTTTAATCCATTTAGCGGTATAATAAATCTGTCAAACTAACAGGGACGCATATATCCATGAGCTGCATCCTCATCTATCAAATAAGGAATGTACTCCGAGGGAACCATGTATCAGCTATTTCCCGCTCTTTTGTCGCCCATACTTCGTCGTGTAAAGGCGAAGGATGGGCCCCCGAAAAACGATTCCCAGTTACCATAGAGGCACCTCTTGCAACTAAACCATCGAGGCGGGATCCATGCAAGTGATCGGTCAAAGTTAGTTCTTCATCCCACCTCAAAAACGAGACATTATCGCTCGGATGGTGAGAGCATATTTGTAGGCAAAGTGCCCGGGTTGTAAAAAAAGTACAAAAAACAATCAATGTATTTTTTACCAACGTTATTGAAGAACTGATGAGAAAATAGCCCACATTTGAATCCCATCAGCCCCGTCTCGTTTTGTTGATCGATAAAAGTATCGCTTCCCTCGTTTTCCGGTCTTCGATTTTGCATCAGAATAGTACTGGTAACTGTGAGCACAATAGTTCTCTGTAACAACGCGAGATTGGCATTTTCTGTCGTGCTACTTGCTGTTTGCCTGTTTGTGAAGATTCCTCCGCCCTGTCTGTTATTTTTGCATGCATTTTCAATGGGGTCACATTTTACAGTGTTCAAGTCTATTATCATTCATTCAGTCCTACCTCGGGAACGGGGATAGCGAATATGAGCTGTGATTCGCTGGGGATATTTTTCTATTTCCGGCATGTCAGATTTGTAGGCCTTCAAGGGGAGCGATAATCGATTCGATCCCACGGGGGACAAGCATGTTCCACTTCGAAAAGCAGATAAGAAGCGACCTCCTCTCTGCCTTGCCGTATAATCTTAACAGTTAGTATCACGTCTACCGTTACAATTCTTCACTTAACTCGCTTATTTCACAGCTGAATTGATGTTTCCTTTTTGCCTTTGAAATAGACTCACAATATATAATCTCCAATTGTGTCAAACATTCAGAATAAAGAGGAGCATACCGGATTTTTCTGAATACGATCAACCGATGCACTAGCTAAGAATCAAATGCAGTCTTATGCTTGAAATGCCTGCTCTAACTTGTTCTCAGTTCCTCATTCCGTCCTCGCGATCGGACATATTTCAGCCTACGCCCACTTCAAAACAGATCTGTTGTCTTCATGAGCGTCGCCAATGATATAATTAGTAAGACAAGACATGGTTCCATTGGTCCATGTCTGTTTCCCATATCTCGAAACCGATACACCCACCTAATGCTCTCACGCTTGTTGTGCCTTGGAACAATTTGTGCAACTCGCCAATCACACACACACACACCCCTATCCGGTCTAGTCTGGTCTCAATCGCTTGACAATTGCTTTTTTTTTTCTTCTCTTCTTCCTACTCTGACCAGATTGTACTTCGAATGGTTCGCATTTGTCAGTCACTGGGTCTGATGGGCGAAGCGGTTGTCCTCTGTCAACTCGCTCCAAATGGTGCTCTGATCGAACTCGGACTGCAGTTGATCACATCCGTGCTGGAACCGTACACCACTGGCTCTCAAGCACCTGATGCAAACGGTACTCAACCGCCAACCGGGGATCCTACAATTGGACCGCCAGACGCACCCGGTTTTACCGCACCATCTTCCACAGTGTCTACAGGGAACGTGGTAACAACAACAACAACAACGGCACCGTCAGCAACCCACGGTTCCGCATCCCGATCCCGGTTTCCCATTAGCACACGGCTTACGGAACGACCACGTGGTGCTTGCGGTGGATTTTTGACCAAAAGTTCGTGGGATTGTTTGGATCCGTTGATTGATTATGTGTGGGATATTCAGTTGCTGGAAACACTGTCTTCCAGTGCCCGGATGCAAGGTGCACTCAGTGTACAAGCTCGAGTCAATGGTGAGTAGTCACCTGTTCATCCTGGTTCCGAATTTGGAGTCTGCCTTGTTTACCAGTCTATTGTTCAGAGCATGATGATAATGATTCTGTGTGTGCGGTTTTGCTTAGTATTTCATCGATAAGACGTGCACCATCCCGACGAGACTGCACCTTGACGTAGCGTGATGGCTTGTGCACCTCTCTGACTATCGCTACGTGTTCGTTTGCATGAACAACAAACAAACGGCCAAACGTTTAGTCTATTCCGTATTCTGAGCTTGGATAAAATACGTGAACGCTGTTATACTACTCAAGAGTAGTTAATTTATAAAATGAACTATTTCGGGATTTCAAGATCAGCTCGGTCTTCTCGTTCAAAGAATAAATAGTTTCCCGTCAGTTTCGCTTTTGGATTTTCGCAGAGACACCATTCAAATCACTGGTTAATACAACAGGAACCAGTAACTTCAATATTCTCCTAATAATGAGTGGTTCGAAGACGGAAACATGTCGTACCAAGAAGATGTAAAATACGCGGCGCACATGATTGTTAACACTTCTAAGGCTATTTATTTAACGCTCTCGTGCTTTCACTTCTTCTCCACCGTGGAATAACGACTGGCTCTCCGTTTGTGTTTCTTCACACCACACAGCCTCTTTGAGTTTACCCGAGCTGAATGTGAATAATCGAGACGAAATTCTCCGTGAAAGTGTGGAAGCGCGCACCCTGGACTTTCTTCGTTGGATGGCTGACCAGCATTTTTAATGAATTTCGCCTTTCAAACCCTCGGATGCAGTTTTCACATGTATTGTACAGACATACATTATATATTTATTTCTATTTTCGAACAAGAAAACAATGTCGCCCACTTTTGTTTGACGTATTTAAATTTTATTGGGACCTAGTTTTTTTCGGGTACATGCATGGGTTTGTGCGTGCATCCTCCAGCATACAGCCCGTTTAACCCAAGTATCTGTGTTTTGAAGATGCCGGGACAGCAAGACCGTAACGAGTTGTCATGGATGTGCTAAGTCGAAACTATTCTGCATGGTGTTGATTTACGGAACTGTACGAAGCATCGTTTTCAAGCAGTGGTATGTGTACAAGACTTAATCGAAATCTCACAGATACCCGAATTCGTCAGGCGATAAAACCACCTGTCGCAATCCTCTGATAGAAGTACATGCCAAATAGAATTGATTGACTATTCCTCATTAGGACACATTAATCGGTTATGTGCGCCTGTATATTACATATTTATAATGCGTGTAATATGGATTCGACCGTTTGCGATACGTGTGTTTGTGGACAAGGAGCACATCAACCACGAACCGTAAACCTTATATTGGATTAGAAATGATAAAACCCTCCTTGTCCATCGTAGCATGCATGAATGATCTGAAGGGCTCGGGTCCTGTTTACTAGACAAACCCAGAATCTGCTTGTATTTGTGGCACAGCCGCGATATTCCGATTTCCACCAACGGGATTTGGGCATATAGATCGTGTTAGACCTCTCCGAGTAGGGTGATCGAGAGCATTGTTACTGATGGTTCGAAACACTGAATGGTATGACGTGGCGGCGGTGCATTAATTCAGTTTCTTCGTGAATTTGGTTTAACTGTGTTCTAGATTTCTACCCCGGCACTGCTTTCAGCAGTCTCATTTTTTTCCTCTCCAGATGATTAGCCAAAAGACCCGTAAACCAAACCATCGTCCTATAGTGAAAGTTTAAGGATATTATGAACTGAATCAATTTAAATCAGGCGGGGTATTGTGATTGAAACGAGAAGTGGTATTCGTCGGGGGTTCAGTAGTTCGCCATTCATGTTCGAGTTTGTCGCATATGAAATATTGGAGTACGTTTTAAGGGGTCTCCAAAAATTTGGTTTGAATGGACAAGTAGAGAAAAACTGTGTGAATTGAAGTACACTGATGACGTCTGTCCACTCGAACGTTTGAAGGCCAGACAAAGTGTACTAACAAGTTTTGTGGTCCTTTGCATCTCAAAAGTGCAATGTGATATTTCTTAAAAGACTTCATATCGTCTACTGACTAAGTGGTCTGCCTATGACGGTAGTAAATTGGTTTTCCTGTCTAAATAGTTACTTGACGAAGGATAGAAACAAAGCAAAGGAGGTAAACGCACACATCCAAGTGTTGTTCGCAGACGTTTTGTGTTCAGGCACTTACCCGAAGTTGCGCTGATAATGTTACCTAGCCTGGCCACGAAATCTCGGCAAACGCACCGACACCAATTCCTCTGAATAATCCGGTAAATCAAACTCGCCCCAAGGTGGGGTTAAACGTCAACAATACCGCATCGATTATAAGTAAACAAAGTTTGGTGCATGTTGCTACCCCTTTAGGAAGCCAGAAGTCGTCTAATGCCAATAGGTAATCTGAAAGGAATATGAAACAGTACCAGTTAACCACTATATACCGTAAAGACTAGCTGTCTGTAGCAAACCGGTCTTAACTCGTAAAATGCGGAGAGATCGTGTACAAGGTGTTATAGAGACTCCAAAAGCCTCAGTATGGCCGCCGGTGTGTGTCTCGGGTTTGGGTTGGTCACCCTCCCGTTGCACCGGACGAAATGGTCCCATGCGACCAAGCGTCTCAGACAGCCTCTACTGAGGAAGCCCTACTCACTGCCTTTTCTTGGAGCAGGTATTCTCTCACCAACGTGAGGGAACGAAAAGCCAATATATGGAGCTATAACCGAGTCAGTGTACCACTGGCCATTCATCTAGGGGGAGTTGGCTAAAATCCTGATTCCAGACCAACGAAGAAGAGACGTACGAACCACGTTCACCCTCACCTTGGTTGTGGCAATTGCCACCGGCTCGACGGGGAATGATGATCCGATGTATTGGCCCCCAATAAATTGCGGTTTTCACACAGCGCCCGGCTACCTTGCGGGTCAGGCTTTGGTCAGCAGAAGGTTCCGGTTGTAGTTCCCCAAGAAAATTCACCTGTCTTGACCTGTGCAACCTGACAGTAATCAGCCTACATGCAAATCATGGAATTTTCTCTTTTTATAAAGATTATTGTGCTGTGATTTGTTTAGCACAGTTTGGGGGGTCAAACGTGTGTGAAAAAGCATATTTGGAGCTGCCAGCAAACAAACAAATAAATACCTATCTCACCAATCCGAATTTTAAAAAAGTATTCACCAGAACAGAAATACGCACTGTTGTGCCTGTAGCGGGCGGGGCAGTGTACTTATTGTCTCGCATGAGCAGCGCCGGATAAAGCTATGCGAAAATGAATGAACAATAGCATAGGGGAGAAGCGACGGGGAGAGTTTCGCATGGAAACGGCACTTGAACTTTTGCGCGCGAAATGCAAACATACGATACACGAAGTCACAATCCTTGACTTCATGGAATCTTCTTCGCATTGATCACCCACATTTTTCATGCCATCATCGGATAGAACGGAACAACCTGATTTTTAATAAAACAAAAATTAGCGCAAGTTCGGGCGTCGAAGCGGAAAAAAAAATTGTGAATGGAATAACCAAAAGATAGGTCATGCAATTTGAGCATAGGAAACTAACACACTACCGACTCAGTGACACCTACAGTAGCAGATCATACGAAGTATAACTTAGTCAATAATATTGACTATCCACAACTTCTCATTCATTTCCGTCAAGGAATGTGGATAGCCAGCATTGGTTCATTCCGTCAACACAGAATGGACAGGACACATTGTGCTTCCGATCATCTGTGTCTATGTGGGTTTTGCGGTGGAAGAGAAAAGTGGATTCCTTCAGATGAGATGAGACGAGATGCGATGCGAGGCGAGGCGAGGCGATGAGGATGTGATCAGACGAGCCGAGATGAGTGGTGCTAGGATTGCAGCGGGCACGTGTACTTGCTTTGGCACAATAGTTTT